ACAAAATTTTTACTTTGAAAAATGTTTATTTGGATAATAATTAATTGAAAATCAAGATGTGTTTTGAGATTTACAACGTATTTCCTTATTTATTTCAAATTTATTTCAGTTTTCGTGAAGGCAATTTTTTTCGTTACACACTGTATAAATAATTGAAAATCCACAAGTTTGAATTTTTAATTGGATGAAGTTTAATAAAGAAAAAATTTCCCTAAAAATAAAAAATGGCCCATATCTGTTTTAATGTTATCAACTCTATTTATTATATTTAAAAAATATAATAGTTTATACAACAGTTGATTTAAAATGAACAGACATAATGTTTTTGAATGATATAATTATATAAATAAATTATTAAATCATCAATTATTTAAATTTTTTTAAATATATTGCTGCTATTAGTGAGAAATCATGTCCAAATCTCAAAGATGATGATTTATTTAAAGAGTCAATAATGTTAATACAATAATACAATCACAATTTATTTATACTAAATTGTAACAATTTCCATGTATGGTTGCTTGCTAAAACTTCCCCAGAAATCAATTGGCAGAGTTTCGCATTTGGAAATTTTGGCAATTGGCAAGGTACACACACACACACTAATTGTTTATCAAAGTTTCGGCAGTCATTAAGAGGTTTTGGCAAACAACCTTATATGTGTGTTTATTTATATATACCCATATTCTAAACACTTTACCTGTCATTTTATTATTGAACACATTGTAAGGGTCCCTTTTTCCTTTTTTTTTTAATTCTGTTATCTCATTTTGTAAATTTTGTAACTCTTCAATCAAATCTGGAATAAAAGAATTATTATAATCAGTTTTGATATTTTCTGACTTATGTGTTTTAAATGACTTGTCATATTGTATTATTTACATGTAAATAGTAATAACCTTCCTTCTCAGCCTTTAATTTAGCAGTATTAGCAATCCTTCTAAAATTAGACTTCTCTTCTCAACAATGTTAATTTCAATCATTTTATGTCTTCTTCAATAATGAATAAATTAAATATAGTATAGAGTTTGAAGGACTATAGATATCTCTGTGATCATTTGACAATTGGTGTAAAACTAATAGAAGAACATTACATGAATTGAATAAACTTCTATTCATGTGGCTGATTTGAGTACTTTAAACAATATATTGATAAGGAAAAAATTTATAATCCTGTAGTTGTCAGATTTTATAGTGGGACAATTTCGATGAACATGAACTCTACCCTTAAATGGAAAATTAATTTTCGAGGAAGCTATATATAACAATTCCTTATGTATTCTTATGTAAATATCAAATAATAAAATTTTAAATATATGTATTTAATACAATAACAACAATTATTATTATAATATATATAAGATGATAATACAAAAAAATAATAAATAATATGCAATTATAATAATCTTACTGATGATTTTTACTGAAACCATGATTTAACATTTTCTAAAATTTCAGAAATGTTCCATATGTTCCTTACTTTTTCAAAAGCAAAAGGTATCCAAAATTTAAGATTTTCACTTATATATAGAAAAGTCTCTTGTGTTAAATTAACAGCTAAACTTGTAGCTTTTCTAACATTAATTAGAATTCCTTCGGTTACTAGATTTACAACACTGTTCTCACTTCCAAATCCATATAAGTAATTGTAATTATTTTTATTGCTAATAATGCCATTATCTTCATTTTTATTAAGAGCTTTATGACTTAATTTTTTCAATTCTATTGATTTATCATTATTTTGTTTCTCTATATCCTTTGGCCATTCAAATTCTTTTATGACAACTCCATTTTTATCAACGATTTTTATCAATATTTTACTTCCATTTTTCTTAATAGAATTGTTAGCACTATCTTCACCATTAATTTCAAATGAATAGTGATTCTTGCCAATAATCTTTGCTTGTTTTCTTATTGATTTTTGTTTATCATAATATAAAATGACATTGAGTTCTTTGGTTATTTTGCTATTAAATGGTTTAATGATATCAAATTCAAATTTATTGGAAGATGTTTGCCAGATTCTGATGTATTTTGATAAAGTTTTGTATTGAGAGAAAAATTCATTAATATTATGATTATTACTGATAATGATATCATCATCATGCCCGAGATTTGCTTTAGATACTGTTCCTAAAGAACTAGCAAGGTCAGCAGGAATTAGAGTCCACTGAGCAAAATTTGCCATAATAAATATCGAAAGATATGCTATCAAAATTGCTGTTATCACTATACTAATTTTCCTTCCTAATTTTACTTTATTATCTATTCTTTTGCTACGTTTTTTTAACTCAGCCATTGATTTATGCTCTTTTCTGAATTGAATTGCACGAGCTCTTAATATTTGCATATCATGGTAAACTTTTTCTGAACTTAACATTGAGAAATCATCAATTGTTAATAGTTTGTTTGAATAATTTGTTTCAATAAATTTGCCAGTTGGTTTTCCCTTCTTGTCTAAATCCTCAGCCATATTATCAGCTCTCCATACAAACATTTCTATTTTATTGTTTTCTAAATGCCTTAATATATCTTTACGTTTTTGATCCTTTTCATGATTAAATATTAACTCTTGACCGTACAAACTAATTATAGGTAATAAGGTTACAAATTTTTGTAGTTCTTGCATTGTTTTAATAAGAAAAGAAGGAAAGCGAGCTAAATCTGGTGGTATAAATACCACACATAGGTCAAATAAATGTTGATTAGATGATTCATCCTCTTCACCATCATTGCCATCACCATCATCGTCATCTATACTGTCAATCTTGAAATGGGTTTTAAATAAATTATCTTTTGCTTCTGTCAATGATTTATTAGTAAGATCAATTTCATAAACAGATACCCCACTATCTGTATAATATTCATAAACAGTATTATTAGGCATAGGTAGATTTGTTGCAGGGCATAATACATAACGTTTTTCATCGCTGATTTCTTGTGTTATTGGTTTTTTTACTTCATCCAAAAAATATTGACCAAGACTTTCACATAATTTAGAGAATACACCATGTTTACAAGTATTTGGTACATCTTCTCCCATATATATAACACGGAATGAAGTAAGTGATGAAATGTTTTTTCGTTTAAAGTCGCGAACTTTGGCTATCCTCTGAGAAGGGGTATCAGCTTTATTACCCTCTATTAATTTTCCAGTGTAATCACTTGATTCAGATGAGGTAGTAGACAAATCATCATCTTTTATTATCAATATTTGATTATTAAAAATATTGTATAAATATTTTGCTAAATGTTATGTAAAATTTTAAAAAATAATTTTATAATCTTTACCTGATGATAAATTATCATCTTCATCCTCCTCGTCAATAAAACTTTTTTGAATTATTTTATTTTCAACAGGATTAACAATCTCATACGATTTATCCAAATCTGGAGTAAAATTTGGTAAAGAATTAGAAGTTTTCATATGACACTTGTTTGTTTTTGATAAGATATATATATATGAATGATTTGTTAAAGAAAGCTTATTTATTTTTGTATTATTTTTATCCCTTCCTTAAATGTTTGTTATCTATTTAAAGAATTTGTAATAGAAATTTGATTGTATCAAAAATGCGATGATTATTTGTGATATACAGTCATACCTCTTTTATATCCCCCATTTGTATTGGTGCTTTTGTGGGATATAACTGAGGTGGGATATATCTCAAGCAGTGATCATTTCACATGACTTTTAATTTAAAAATAAAAATTTTATTCAATATTAATATCAATAAATTCTGTCAACAAGGATTGATGTTTTTGCTTTATCTACAGAACTATTTAAATATTTTATTAATTCACTGACATACTTAACATCTTTTTTGTGGCAAATTCTTGATGTTCTAAGAATCTTTTTGCAGTTTCAAATGTTTTTCTTCCTCCTTCTATAGAAATAATAGATTCCAGTTTTATGAATTTATAAATTTTATTGAGATTTTATTTTATTATTCAATTCTTAGGATAAAAGAATGTGTACATATTATGCCTAAGTCAAAACCAAGTTTTTTATACACATAAAAAAGATACTTTGCCACAACTGTGAAAAAAAGGATATTTTTTTATTGTTAAAAGAAATCAGCCATGTCTTTGTTGTTAAAGGAATCAACCAAGTCTCCACCAAAAAAAAAAAATTGATAATTATTTCTTTGTTGTTAAAGGAATCAACCAACTCACCACCAAAAAAAAGAGATTAATTTATAATTAATTTCTTTGTTATTTGTTAAAGGAAACAACCAACTCACCACTAAAGAAAAAAGAATAATTGATGATTAATTTCTTTGTTGTTAAAGAATCAGCCAAGCCACCACCAAAAAAAAAAAATAAAAGAAATCAAAATGATCCAAAAAAATTTATTGTAAACATTAGGTTACACTTGTATATCATTTACAAATAAGGTTACAATGGAGATATAACGGAGCCAAAAAATTGGGGATAGAAATATAATAATAACTCAATGGAATATAAACGAGCATAATGGACATTTGTTTATCACATAGTATTATACCGAGATCTAACTATTAAATTCGTTATATTGATATCTGGACATCAAAACTGGCAAACAGATCGAATATTCGGATATCGTCAAATATCCGATGGATATTATCACTATGGGTGCCTGATGTAAGATAACGATACTCATCATATATTTTACCTTTAAATCCAATACGAGCATTTTGATGTGATTGTGACGATGGATCTAGATTTTCACAAATTATTTTATTAAAATAAGTGAATAAATAATTGATGCTTTAAGAAATTTCATGATACAACATATTAACCATAATTAAGTTACGAATATCTTCTCCAAAGCTAGTTCCATAAACATAGTCACAACATTGTATATTCATATAATCGCCAAGTGCCAATATTCCACCTTGAATTTAAGTTGCTAATTCTCTTGAGTTTCTATAATTGGAATATTGGCTCTTTGTTGAATAGTTAATTGTTTCTCATAATCTTAAGACAAAAGATCAAGAGACTTAATATGTGCGTAGATGCCTCTCAAAAGATATCTTCCTTTAACCTATAGAATCAAATGTGGGTACCCTATTATGGTAGAAATTGCAAGGAAGGGTGAGTTTTTTTAAAAAAATAGGACCTTGAGACTGCTTATTATAAGTAGTATGCTATAATAAAAAAAAATTTCCACTTTAACATCCTTGCTGGTCCAAAAGTTAACTTTTCATCAGCTTCACAAGATCAAACTTGAAATTATTTTATCAATTGGCTATTTTTTAAAATTATCGAAGATGTCACATTGGGTAATTAATTATATATCACATTTCCTTAAAATTCTGTGACAATCTCGAATCAATTCAAATAAACAAAATAATGCAAAGTAAAATTTTGATTCGAGAAAATCCTAGATCTCTAGTTTTTATACAATCCAAAACTTCAGAAAATTATCTTTCTTCAGATAACATTGCATTATTATTTGAGCCGATACCAGGAAATTATAATGTCAACGTACCAAAATGCAAAGTTCAATTAATATCTAATTTAGAATTTGATTTACATCAGTATCGACTTTTTAACACAAAGCCTATGTATGGCTGTCTTGGCCTGATAGAAGTTGAAAAAGGTAACTTTTTTTTTTGCATTACTTTGCTAGCAAATGATTTAAAAAGAAAAAAAGAAAACAGAATCTATAAAAGTACTTTTAGATATATTTTTAGGAGTTGTGACAGACTGCAAACATATTGGCCGAATACGGCCAGGCGAATCTGTTCATCGTATTATAGATGTAGAGTTTTATTCCTTAACAAATAATTCATGGGACTATTCTTCGACAACATATAGTAATTCAAGTCGATTACATGATGAAGATAATTCATCTTCTGTTTCTGTTCATCCATGCAATCAATTAAGAAAATTACTTTCGAATGGCCATTTTTATTTTTCATCGAATTTTGATTTGACGAGGACTTTGACAGTGAGGTGTGTGTGTATAGATATTAAATTAATTGATACCAAGTAATATATTTTATCTATTTATTTGTTTCTGACAAATGATGTTGTATAATTAGAGCAAGTATGTCTAAAGCTGATAAATACTCGTATGATAGCCATTTTCTATGGAATAAATTTATGATAAAAGAATTGTTAAATTATCGCTCTAAACTTAGTGATCCTGAACAAATTGCGATGGATAATAGCGGATTTTTGGTATTTAACTTTTATTTCATCTAGAACCTAAAAGATTAAATATAAATATTAATCAAATAAATGATAAAATATTAGGTTCTTGCAATTCATGGATATATTGGTAGACAAGATGTGACTGTTGGTACAAGCAATGCTTCTTTGTCTGTTATTTCCAAATTAAGCTGTAAGAGAGCTGGTAGGTTTTCTATACTTTTAAATTAATAAATATATACCATCATCTATATTGAAAAATCATAATTTAATTATTTCATGGCTATTTATATGTATTAGGAACTAGATATAACACTCGTGGAATTGATGATGATGGAAATGTTGCGAATTTCGTAGAGGTATTTTTTTTAAAATAATCTTCAATTAATATTAAAATATTTGTTTATTACAGATTTAAAAAATATGCATCTGTTTAAATTAATAGACGGAAACAATTTTACAATTACCACATCGTTGCTTCTCTTACACACAAATTCGTGGCAGTGTTCCATGTAAGGATTGAAATCTCCCACTTTTTTTTTTGGTGACTTTTAATTATAATTTATATAATTTGTAATTCAATTTATCTAACTTTTTTAATTTTAAGTATTTTGGGAGCAACAAGTAAGTTTTAATTTATAGTAATTCTTATATACAATTCTTTATTGAATATTTCCATGGTATTTAATAGGGAATTCAAGTCATGAGTCATAAGATCCAAATATCACGTGGACCAGCAGCAACGTTACCAGCAGTTGAACGACATTTTAATGAGTTGCAAAGTAGATATGGTGAAGTTTATATACTTAACCTACTTAGTCAACTCAAAGATGGCGAATTTCTATTATGTAATGAATATCAGGATCGAACAAATGATTTAAATAAACACGGATACATTTATCAATTTTTTTCTTTTGACTTTCATGCCATTTGTGGGAATTCAAATTATGAGAATTTGTCAATACTAATTCGAGATATTGGAAAAAATTTGGAATCGACTGGTTTTTTTTTGTTGGATATAGAAACAAGCTCACCAATATTTTATCAAAAAGGTGTTTTTCGAACTAACTGTGTGGATTGGTAAAGTCAATAATTAAAGTCATTTTTTAATATAAATATTGATTTTTTGTTAATATAAATATTGATTTTTATTTTTCATCATTCAATAAAATTTCAAGTTTGGATAGGTAATTCTAACATATTGGTTATATATTCTTTATCGAATTCCGAGAATTTTTAATTTAATTTAATAATTTGGGGTTTTATAGAACAAATATTGTACAAACAGTTATATCAAAAACTGTATTAAGCACGTATCTCCATGAGATAGAATGTGTCACTCATAGCCTAGAATCGTTGAATTCTAGACATTCACATTTATGGGCAGAAAATGGCGATAGTCTGTCAAAGATTTATGCTGGCACGGGTGCATTGAAATCTGAATATACACGTAGCGGGAAACTCACTTGGTCGGGTTAGTATGAAGGAGATGTTTTATTCGCGTAAAAGGAAATATTATTAAGAACATGCATGTAATTATTTAGGCGTTATTGGAGACGCTACGAAAACGGTCAATCGCTTTTATATAAATAATTTTCAGGATAAATTTAAACAAGAAGCCATAGATTTATTACTCGTAATTATTAAATATCAACTTATTATTATTTTATTGTTATTTACTTTTTTATTTTTAAAAAATTTTTATGTAATTATATCAGAGTTCAAAAATCTTTTGTATTTTGCATTACTTTATATATTAGATTGTTTGTAACGAAAATTTTATAATTTAATTTAATAGGGCAAACAATTAAATCAAAATCAAATTATGATTTATGATCCTGTAAACGAATTGGTTCTTGAAGACATTCAAAAAAGGTTTAAAAAAATTGTATATATTATTGTTTCTTTAAAAAATTATATTATTTTTTAATTAAAAGTTATAATTTTTTTCTTAAGGTTAAATGATTTTTCAACAAAAACAACAATAAATGTTTTTGTTGGAACATATAATCTTAATGGTGTTTCACCTTTGGGTGAATCTCTTACACCCTGGCTCTTTGCTTTTGATGATTGTAAGTGAGCGAAAGTTTCGGCTTTAAAAAAATATTGTTATTTAAATCATTATTTTTAAAAATATAATTATTCTAGATGAGCAAGATCCACATCTGTATGTAATTGGGTTTCAAGAAATCGTAGAGTTAAAACCTCAACAGGTAAAATTTTACGTTTTATTTTATTATAATATTAAATTTTTATTTTTATTTATTCATACTTGAGGGTTTTTTTTTTTGCATTTCAAGATCGTTTCTACAGATCCAGAAAAATTGTAAGTAAAGTAATGTTTAGTAATTTCATACATGCATAATTATTTATTCTTTTATGATCCACCTTAGCCGTATCTGGGAGCGTGAAATAAGTAGAACACTCAATGGTCGTCACGGAAATCATTCCAATTATGTGATTTTGCGTTCAGATCAATTGGTTGGTACTGCATTAGTTATTTATGCAAGAGCTGATGTGGTTTCCAATATAAGGAATGTTGAATGTGTCATGAAAAAGGTGATTTATTATTCGTTCTAAAATTATTATTATTATTTGTTAGATTCTTATTAAAAATTTTATTGATTAGACTGGATTGGGCGGGATGGCAGGAAACAAGGGCGCTGTGGCCATTAGCTTTAATTATTTTGATACAAGCCTTTGTTTTGTAACAGCGCATTTTGCATCTGGTAGTTGAAGTTTTTTTGATTTTTTATTTGAAATATTTTAGAAAATATATTTATTATTTATTATTGATTTATCTTTTAGGTCATACTAATTATGAAGAAAGAAATAAAGAATATCAAGCTATTCATGATGGTTTAACTTTTAGAAATGGTCGACGACTTGAACATTTTGAGTAAGTATATTAAATTATTGTTAAATTAATGGTTAATTTACTTATGTAATTTTATAACCAGATATGTGGTTTGGTTGGGTGATTTTAATTATCGGATATCTTTAACAAATGAACAGGTGAAATATATTTCTACATTTTTTGATAGACTTTTTATTTTCTAATAACAGTAACAATAATAGTAATAATTATTATCATTAAGGTTCGAGCTTTCCTAGAAGATGAAAATCTTGATGCATTATTAAATGCTGAACAGGTAATTATGTTTATTATCATTATTGTATTGTAATCTTCTCGATTATTCTGAATTTAGTAAAATATTCACTTATTTAAAGTTGACCAAACAAATTGAACGGGGGCAAGCTTTTACTGATTATATTGAAAATCCTATTACATTTTTCCCAACATATAAATATGATATTGGAACAGATATGTATGATACAAGGTAATTTTAAGAATATAGATATGTCTATTTGTATGTCATTTTGTATGTCCATGGAATTAAGATTGATTTAAATATTCTTGACAGTGAAAAAGCAAGGGTTCCAGCATGGACAGGTAGGTTCAAAAGGTTATTTTTGGGATTATTTGAAATTATTATTAATTAATCCATATATTTATATTTATATATTTATTTATTTATTTATTTAAATAACAAGATCGTATATTATATCGAGGAAATAGAGTAATAATATTTATAATTTATAATTTTATTATTGGAACAATTTTAGTTAGATTTATTATTTACTGAACTGTATAAATAAATATCCCAGATAAAACAGTTTGGTTATTGTAGAGCTGAAATAAAGGCTTCAGATCATAGACCGGGTAATTAAAAAAAAATTTTAAAAAGTCTTTTTGTTAATAATTAGCTAATACTTTCTTATTAAACTTTGATTTAGTTATGGCATTTTTTGATATTGAGGTAATTGTGGTTTATTGATTGATTTTTTGATTGTATTGCTTAATTAAATTCCATAGCTATAATTATTATTATAGATAATTAAATATGACAGAGCAGCCAAAGAAAAAGTTCATAGAGAAATATATTTAGAAAAGCTACAAATTGTGTCTCAAGACAATAATAAATTTTCTTATTATTCAAATGTCACTGAAATAGAACAAAATGGAAAACAACATTGGGATAAATTGGCAAAATCGATAAGAAAAGTTAATGACACACCATTAACTACTGATGATGAAATCATAGCAAAATTAGCAAAGTCAAGAGAAACCGAGAATCAAAATGCACCTGTTGGTATATTGATTGATTTTGAAGACGAAGGTGCCAAAGAAAAATCAGCTGAAAATTGTTTGTATATAAATTTATAATATGGATTTATTAATAAATAAATAATTTCTATTAATCTTTTTTTTCTTTTTTAGTGCCCCCGCCAAGTTCAGAACATCATCAGTGGTGGACTGTCCCAATCGGTAAATCAAAAAATAATTAGAAAGTCTTTTGAATTTATTTTATATTAACAATTTTTATCACTGACTTTTATTTAGTTGGAACACACACAACAGCTTTATCACCAGTTAAAATTGATAAAAGTACAATTAATCACGATTTTCGGAAGTATTCAAATAATCCATTTTATGACACATTGGTAAACCCAATGATGACAGACTTTTCTGAACAACCACTTGTATCTTTACCATCTACAAAATCAACAATTCAAGGTAATATTCTTTAATTATTATAATTCTTTAACTATTTTGATTTTATTAATATTTCTTCTAATTTTTTCCAGAATTTAACAAGCCAAAAAAAAAAATAAACCCATTTTTTGAGATTGATTATGAACTTGACGATGATAAAACCAATAATAATGATCAATTAATCGATATTCCGTTTGATTCATCGGAACAATCAAAACCGGGTAGGTGATAAATAAACATCTTGATTAAGATTAATTTTTATTTAATTCAATTTTTATTAAAATATGTGTTTTAATAAGAAGTCAATTCACACAATGATTGGATTCCATTAATTCCAACTAAAATCAATCGTGGTGATGATAGTAATTAATTTAATTTAAACTGTTATATAGACTGTACAGTATTTATTTATTTATTGGCACATATGCCAATTATCATCAAATTTTTAAATTGCTATTTATTCATTATAATTATTGTCATTATGATTATTTCATTACATATTCCGATTTCTGCGGCATTCTGCACTATGCAGAAAATCACCGTCCTGTAGTAGTAGTAGTTTTATCTAAAATCTTGTTATAAATTGAGAAATTTCTTTCTATACTGCATTTAGATATGGGCAATCATTAAGTTTTGTTGTATGTTAACATGAGATACATGAGATAGCAAAGCCGTGTTAAGTTTGGATAAAGAATAATTTTATTAAATGATGATAGTGCAAGTTTATTAAATTAATTACAATGACTTTTATATCCACACTACCACTACTATAATACCACTATTAGTAATGGCATGTGTTAAATTGGCAAGTATCATATTAATTAATTAGTCAAAAGGAATCTTTTAATAGTATAAAATAAATATATTCAGGTAGCAAATGTTAATAAGTTGGGTAAGGATAAAAAGCCATAATGCAAAATTCGAAGCAGAGTTAAGGTTTGTCATTTTTTTTTAAGTATGCAAACAAATATTAGTATAATATAATCAATTAGTTTTAAACAAATTAACAAACCTTGAAGCTATGGATTATTCCTGCACCACATGGTTGCAGGTGTGCAGTTACATTTGGTAAATCTTCAATTAGATTATGTGTTGGTGCATTGTCAACAAGTAATATTACTCCTATTTGCGATAACACTTTTATCTAATTCTTTAAGATAATCGTTCTATATTGGTGTTTGCATGCATCAAAGTCTTATCATTCTTTTTAAAGCACATGGATTTTGATATTTATAAATAAACAAGGAAATTAACTTCTCTGTCCCGATTACATTGCATGTAATACTGTTATTTTATCTTCGTCTGTCTTGTTCCTGAAAGTGGACCAGTTGACAACTCGCATGTTGATTCCATGCCTTCAAAAATTATTAGATTGAGATTGAGATCGAGATTGATTTCGATCTGCATTCAAAAATTTCCATATCGAGATTGATTTCTATCTGAGATTGAGATCGAGATCGAATTTTAATATGAAATTTCAATCAGTAAGATTGAAAAATAAACAAACAAAATAAATAAACAAACAATAAAATAAATAAATAATTTTTATTTTTTTTTTGGGTACTCCCAATTTTTTCTTTTAACAAAGACATCAATACTAAAAGCATTAGCATTGGTATTTGTAAGTTCAAGGTCATTTCTTTTCTTTGATGCAAACAATTAATAAAGAGAAAAGAAACATAAAAAATCCATTTTTAATATTTTTTATTAATAATTTTGATAAAATAATTTTTGATCACGGATTGAAAATTTCAATTTCAATCCAATCTCAATCCAATCAAATATTCAATCTCAATCTCAGTATATAATTTTTGAAGGCACCCTATGTTTTGTATCAATAAAAATAGAATTATACCTGAAAACATCAATAAAAGTATGTTTGTTTGTTAATAATAATAAATTAAATATTAATTAATGAATTTCTGCACAAATCTGCTAATAGATTATTGGCTACCTTTAATGTAACACACGCACCTGCATTCAATTTCACACACTGAATGTGACCTTCATAAATTTGTCTCCCAAAATTTCATACCTTAAAATGTTGCACAAATCAGTGGATATGAAATAAATATATTAACAATCAATAAAGATATTTCAGGAAAATACTTAGCTAAGATGTTATTCTTTTTAAAATACAGCATTTACTGATGCATATGACAGCATTCCTGCCTTTCTTCATTTCTTGCTTACATTGCATTAATTTACTCTCTAAATATTTCTTATCTAATTCTTTCTTGTGTACATCACAGTTAATATAATTTAAATAGTTTTTTTTTTCAAATAGAAATATTATTATTTAATAAGAATATAATTTTTATGGAAAATTAATATACTAAGTAAAAGTTATACATGTCCATTACTCCTTTCCTGACGCTTATCTCTAAAATTGATTCACATGATTTCAACTAGGGACTCTTTCAACAAATTCAGTGAATAAGCAAAGTAATGTGTTAACTAATGGTCTTGATGTTTTGTTCACTATAAAGATAAAAAAAAAGGTTTAGGCAAAAAGTAAACTCTTTGTACAAAAATTCATCAATTTTGAATAAAAGATACTTTTTTCAAATTAACATATTATAATAGTTTTTTACAGATTATGAAAGAGAAAGTTTGAAGGTATTATTTCAATTATTATTATGGAGGTTTGGAGTTTTGGCAATTGGGCTTATTGAACTGGACTTATTGGACCAGTCCAAGCAGACCAGTCCAATAAGTCTATTGAACAGGAGAGACCGTCCTATATAAGGAATGGATTTTCACAATTGATTTCAATTTTTTTTATACAGTTTAAAATACTTTTGCAAGGGTATCATGTAGCAATAAATCATGTGTAAATAATTACACAAACTTGAATCTTTACACTTTGTTGTTATCATATCTTTTTGAATCCCTTTGAATCCTACAACTTTCATATATGTTTTACTTGAAGAAAAATTGCCTGAAATTAAACATTGCACAGAATGTAAAATCACTAAATCAAGCTAAATTTCATCAATGAAAGGCAATAAATGGAAAGAAGCTGAGAACAACAACTTAGTGAAAGTAATGTGTTGTTTTATGTAACATTTGTTAAATGAATTTTGTAGAAAATCTTTTAAAAAGAGAACCTAGGAGATAAAAACCACAGATGTGGAAGGGGAAGGGGAAGGGGAAGAGGTAAGTGAAAAGATTGATTGCTATAAGAAATAGAACCAAGCTTGAAGGAGTTTTTGACCAACTCTATTTAGCAGCTCGGCCATTTTTAGTGTTCATGTGTTATCTTCTTGTTTTAAATAATACAAAAATTAACTCTTTTAAGTTCAACCTTGCATTCTATTTAGACTCGGTAGATACAAGTCTTGGAGTAACTATAACATCAAGAGCATTAGATTGTAAAAAGAAGCAAGTTGCAGATGAACATGAGAAATGCACTTACAAAATATTCAAAATACATTCTTGTTGAATGTTGACAATTATCGTCCAGAGACAATCAGTATCCTTTAATTACTAAAATTTTATTACTTCTAGGAAACTATCTACAAACATTTTTTGCAAATACGTATAATGTGATTACACTAATTATACTAATTTGAATAATTGTAGTGTGCCCATGTTATCACAATCATTGTCTACAAAAGTGTCAATCTAAATGTTTGATATCTTCAAGTCGAAATCAAAAAAAATGTCAACACACTAAAAGAAAGTATGATGAAAAATATTAAATGAAAATGAATTTATCAAAAATA